TGGCAGCAGAAATTGATTTCTGACAAATGAAGAGCTGCTCACACCGGAGGAACTTACGTGCGCGCTGCTCCTTGCTCGCCGGCCTCGCGTGCCGCAGTGCTCGCCATTAGCCTGCGCTCAGGTGATAAATCATTTCTTGGGCCTCATCCACTTACTGGCTTCTGCGGCCTGTGGAATAAGGTAGCAGAATCCATCCTTAGTAAACCCRATTACGTCTCTCTCTGACTGTGAGAAATCATCTCTTTGTTTCAGAAAAGATTACCTGTCTCGAGGACAACCCTGTGAAGCCACAGAAAGCCCAAAGCAAAAACAAGAAACCTGATTGCCGAAACGCGGTGCTGCCTTTTCAGGGAATTTGCCCAGCCCCTCAGGGAGGACCAAGAGAAGCCGTGGCAGGTCTCCAAACCTTTCTCTCTAACGTTCCTTGCCCTCGGCATGGCTTGGACACATCCAGATGCTCTCAGCTCTTTTCCTTGCTGTGAGCAAGTCCATGACCAGGCGAGGGTCCCCTTGCAGAGGCCTGCTCAAGCAGTGTGGGTTTGGGGGAGCACTGTATCTGCACTGGGAAAAAGAGGTAAAACAACCCCATTGTTGGGGGTTTTGTTTGTTTTAGCAGTTGCTCGAGCTCTGCGATATGTTTTCTTTTGGGTTTTCTAGAGAAAATCTTTCCATTTTTGTTCAACGGTTGCTGAATTGGTGACAGTAATCTGAATGAATTGCCTGATTTTTCATGTTCACTTTTTGACTGAAATTAATGCTGAGAAAACACAGTGACACCATTTAAAACATAGTAGCTTGAAAATTATTAGCAGAATGGAACTTTTTTTTCTTCCGTCAGGAGGTAGTTTTATCTCTATTATATCTCTCGCATGTCTGTCATTTATCCTTATGCTCTCCCTGTCCATCATCACTTGCACATTCTTTGGTCTAATATTGAAGYAAATTGTTACGTTCAAACGGACCAGCACATATTGTCAAAACACTTGTCAATTTTTCACATTAGTTGCAAATTAAAAGAAATATTTTGCTAAGCTTAGCTTCTATTAGGAGCTATATTAATAATGAAAGATAATTTAACAGCACAACTACTCAAGAAGAAAAGCCTTTGAAAAGGTCCAAAGTTATGACTGTGACTGAATAAACCCATTAATTCCTGACACATTTCCATTCTCATTCCAGGCAGTCAAAATGAAGCCATGCAATCCTTTATTATGCAGACAGAAAGTGCACTCTGTTCAGGATATCACTGTACATACCTGGCAGCTTATTTAAAAAAAAAAAAAAAAAATCATGCAAACTGGTAACTGGTTTTTTGGGGTTATTTGTTTGTTTTTTTTCTGTTTTTTTCCTTGTATCAGAAAAAGATGGGTTTGTGCTGGAGTTTTTCTTGTGTTTAACAAATCAGAGTAAGCAATTAAAAGKGAAGAAGACTCCACTTAGCTTGCTGCTTTCTCATGGGTGATGAGGAAGAAGAAAGGAAATTGTTGAAGCATTGAAGGCTTCCGTTCTGCTGCTGATCAAACTACATTTGCATGTTTTTAAATGTACTGTTATGACACTGGAGGGGTTATTAGCAAATGTATGTATTCATACTTGAAATGCATTGCTGTGATATGTTGATATGTCACAGTATAAAAGTCTTTGTGGAGAAGCTCTGTCTTTGGGCAGTAGACCAGAAAGGATGAACAGTGCTTCAAAACAAAAGAACTAACAAGTTACTGGAACTGGATTCCCTAGGCAAAAGCAGGGGGATGTGAAGGACCTACAGCAGGTTCCCTCATCCCTCACTGACCATCTCTGATGTACCTTAACTAACTTAAGGACCTAAACAACTTAAATTCAGTGTCATTGGTCTGTGTTGCTGTYTTCTCTTCACCACTTTCCCTTCAGCAGGACAGGCAAAGCCCTAGTCCAGCTCTTCCAGTGATTCCACCAGCGAATGGGAATTCTTTGCTCAAGCTTCCCTGAGCTCCRGTGCAGGAGCGAAGGTGTCAGTCCTGCCTTGCTCTGGAGTTGTCCAAGTACTTGGTAATCATGAGTAAATCTGATGTGCCAGGGAAACACGGGGAAGGAAGTGCAGAGCAGGAAGGATTCTTTAAGGGGAGAAACAAAGTATGGGGCAGCAAAGGAGGCATAAGGAGAGAATAAAGCTTAGAACTGAGGAAGAGGAAAGGAGGTGATAATGTGAGATGGGATATTAAGACAGGCACAGGAAGAATTCTAGACTGAAATGTGCAAAGAGAAGACAACAGAGAAGTTGAAGGAGGATGGTCACTTTGGTCTCTTGAGCTARTAACTTCTCAACCTGTTCCTTTGAAGCTTCTTTTAAAGTCAAGAAAATCAAATAAGAGAATGCACGTGAAAGACTCGCTGTGCAAGTGGCTGACAGCGATCAGGAAACGCTGTGTTAATGCCAGCTCTATCTTGACTAGCTATTGTGCTGCTGTGTTACTGGGCCGCTTTGCACTATTGTCCTAATCTTTAATACAACACGGCTTATTGTGCTTCCTATCAGAAACAGGACATGGGGCCCGAATTGCTACACCAATTATTTCCCTTATCATTCCCTGCTTAGACTTCGCTTCAGGTACTTTTAAATGAGAATTGCTGAAATCTTGAAAGGAAACCTCCAGTTATTAGACACGATTCTTCCCACCCTGCGCCAGGAGTAGGGCCTTTGCAGTCCGCCTTTGATAGACGCTTCCTTGCATAAATAATAGAACTGCCCTGGATGCATCGCACAGGTTTTTGCCTTGGGCAGAACAACAAGCTTAGGTAGATGACTGAGTATGATCCTTTGTCGGCTGACATTATTTTTAAACTCTTCTTGCTTCGGGCCATGGCAGCGTGTATTAAATAAATGATAAACACCACACCTGASGAGGAGGCAGCTAGCGTGGGCGGCAGCGGGTGTTTCCCCGGCTCCTTGGGAGGTTTAGATCCCTGAATTATCTATGTTTTCTGAGGGGTCATTTTCTTTTCCCAGTTTTCTTGAGCAACTGGTGCCCAGCAGTGGAGATGGGTGGTATCCAGCAGCACTGTTAGTGGTGCATGGGAAAATCACTGCTGGGATTCACTAATTATTACATTGTGTCTGAACTCACCGGCTTAGTGGCTTAATCCAAAAATGGGGAAAACTGCTGTTTTTCCAAATGGCTGAATTGCTGGCCCTCTAAGTTCTGTCACAGCAATTTGTCCTGGCAAAACTAAAAAGGTTGGAGTGCTAAAAGTGCTGATTTGTTCTCTGATAAGCCAGATGTGCTAACTGCTGAAATACTCAATGAGCCTCTTCCAAAGGCCTCTTTTATTGCTCGCTTTTGATAAATAGAAAATGAATTGTTGGGGACACAACTGTGTCTAGCGAGCAACTCGGAAGGGTGGAAAAAGTGGCTTGGTTCCACAGAACTTCAGCTGTAATGAGAACGTCTGTGTTCGGGATGTGGGTGTCCTTATTTTTCTTTGGCTGCCAAAACAATTAACGTAATATGCTCACTTGCTGCTCGCGGAGCRAAGCAGGAGCTGGAGCTGACGCGATGACAGCCGCGTTGTCACCAGCCTGGAGCGGATCCACCGCGCGGAGGTGGTGGGGACAGCCGCCCGGGAAGGCAGCCTGCATCCGCCTCGGCTCCTCTTCCTGGGAGGTGGAGAGCAAAGTTGGAGCTGTTTATCAGAGCTGAGAGAATATCTGGGTCGAAGATGATTCCACAGCCCGTTCTTGTGTTCTACGTTCTCTRCTGTGAACATTTATTACCCGCTTATCTGGTTTGTGAAGGTGAGGAGGTTGCAGAAACACAAGCAACCTATCCCCCACCTAGCGCAAAAGCGGCGATGGGTGCGAGGGATGTGGCAGGAGAAGCCCAGCCTGCCTCTGATGTGACACAGTAGCTAATGCGCTGCCATGTTACTACTCCAGAAATTCACTAATTAGTCGTTAAGTTGATGTTACCCTGCGATCATGTCCAAAATGTCACATGAGTAACACTCATGCAGAAGCAGCAGCACAAGATGATGTTTTTTTCACGCTATCTGCATAATGTTACACTGTCTACGTGGTATCTTTGCATCTGATGCTGAAAAGGGCACCTGCTGTGCATAGGGGCTTGAATGAGACTGTAATTGGGGAATGCAATGGTAGGGCTTAATGTAACCACGTGTGGGCCCCTCACGCTCATGTGGAGCCACCAAGGCTTCGAGTGTCTCTGCATGGAGCCACCAAGGCTTTGAGCACCTCCRTCTGCCACCATCCAGCTCTCACCAGGCTGGATGCAAACGCAGGAATGGGGGAGTGACTGGGGCAATATCCTTGGGTGTGAAAAACTCTACCTGGGTGTACTTGGATCAGGAAGAAATGCGTATTTCTCTTTTCAACCGTGCTTTGCCTTACAAAAAATGTTCCTTTATGCAGTGCTGTCAATGATCATGCGGAGGAGGAGGGTGAGCGMAGCAGCTTCGGTGGCTGTGGGGCAGCTGTGTATGTGCCACCCGTTGTCTGCACTTAATGGAATTTCTCTCTCTTTGCTTTTAATGCCATTTATAATTGAATTAATAACCTGTTAACTAGCTGCAAGCTGCAAACATGTGTAGCTTGCCCTAATGGACAGGCATTTGGAGAGCGCCCAGCCTAACCTCGGCAGAGGTGCTAACTGCTCCTAATTGTTTGGCTRTTGCTTGGAAAGGTGAGAGCTGCTAGGCCTCTTGCCAAGAGCCAGGCGGGCACCTCCATCCGCCTGGGTGGCCGCTGTGGGCAGCCACGAGGGTCTCACCTCGGGTTTGTTTCCACATCACTTCTCTGTTGGCTGCTTCTGCCTCTGTGTCAAAGAGCAGCRAACTGCCCTGGTCAGCTCAGCAAAGCCTTAATCGAGGCCACAGCTTCTTGTACTTCTATGTTTCTGTGAAAAAGTGAGATTGAAGCTGGTGTCTATGGATGGCAAGCTCACCTCTTCTTTCCCTTGTGCCTTGACAGGGCTTGGTTGTGTTGCTCCTTAAGCCAGATCACTAAAGCGAGCCAGGCTTTGGAAGAAGAGAATCTTTGTTGGTGACGTGTATATTTTATGGGGTGAGTACGGAATGATTCCTCGCTTGGAAAATGTTGTGTGAAACTGTCACCAGTCGAGATAATCTCTAATTGGGGTCCCATGCCGTGTGACRGCAAGCAGTTCATGTGTGTGTGTCACTGCCCTCACCCTCCTTAAGGAATGTTGTAAAATGTTGAATCATCTAGGAAAGACCACGTGTGTGTATGTTTGAGGAGTGGAAATATCTCCAGTGAAAAATCCAATGAAAAGAGGAGCCAAACCAGTGTATTTTATCAAAAGCTGATCAGGAGATGACTTGATTAATATGCATAAGTACTTCTTAGGCAGAAAAGGTTCTTTAATTCAGTGAAAAAGGATTAAAAAAAATTCCAAAGAACTGTTCATGGCTGAAAGAGAATGCTTTTTTAATAGTGTCTGTGATTAGCTATTAAAAGAAACCATTGATAGATGCAGTGAATTTTGTATGTAGTGATGACTTCAATTTGGGAGCATATGCCYGAGAAATTTCCCAATCTTTATATTGTTAAACTGCTGTTAATTTGGCATATTTATCAGGGATGACCCTTCCAGGAGAGCATTGGTCTAGCAGCTCAGGAAAAAAGGAAAACTTYGGTGGCTGAATTATATTCACTTTAAAAGGGAGCCTCTCAAGTCTCATAGTTTCTCTGAGAAATTGAAACCAAAATTGTTTTCTAACCTAATTTATTCTTTCATTTTTATTTGATCTATATTTGTGTGTGATGCTAACCTGTTCATTGAATTGACTTGAGGAAAAAAGCTGAGGATGGCCATAACTCACTTTTAACACAAGCTGGATCTTTAAAAACTGCTATTGGGACAGGCAGAGTCTTGATTAAAGATTTTGGGATCTACTATTGGGAAAAGCAGTGAGCATTTGGTGTATAATAATGCCAGCTGATACTTCTCAGTGCTCTCTAGACACTAAAAATACTGTGGCTGGTAGATGTATTTTATCTTCCTTTTTTGGAGTTTCACCATCCCTTTTGATGGGAGAAGGATTAGGCTCTTTACACACAATCATTTCACTGTTTATCAAAAGATTTTAGGGATCATGTGGGCATCTGCCCTCAGCCAACAGTTATGAAATGAGAAGCTCATGGTGCATTCCCAATATTTGATTCAGAGGAGGAGTCAATTTATCCATAAGTGACGTACAGTGCTCTTTGGGCAATTACTTTTGGGCCTCAACCAACAGCCATTAAGTGGAAAGCTCCCATTGACTTTAATTAGAGCTGRCTTAGTTGCACATTGAGGAAGACTTAATTGCTGTCTGAAGCTAAGACATAATGCTGAGAGGTACTTTATAACTACCGGAGATAAACAGATACTATTAGACTGATTTTATTTGTATGTAAGGAGGAAGTACAATTGACCATATAATTCTTTTTGCTATTTCTATTGTTGGATGTTATTTACTAATAAATAAAACAAATGAACTTACGTTGAAGCTGCTGAGGGTCTKTACTGTGGCTCTGCTTGAGTAGAGCATCGGGGACTGCTGCTGTAACGCTGCCCGATTTTGATTTTCAAGGATGGAACCCCAAGGCATCCTTTTCTTTTGTTTTTGACTGTCTTTGTATTAAATTAAAAAGGAAACAAACTTACAACTCCAGACGCTTTTAAGCACAAACTTTTCATTACTTGCATTATTGCTTTTACTGCCACTTATTTTATATTTTTATGTAAATGTCAAGGAATGGCAGTGATTTGTGGTGCAGCAGAAGAGACTGGTAATGCAGAGGGGTTGGCAGAGTACTTTGCATTAGGTCTGGGATTTASCTGCATCGCGAGGCCTTTCTCAATTAGCTATTGCAAAGAGGAGACTTCTTTGCCCGCAGCACATGACAACTGTGTGTAAAATGTGCAAGCTGTGTGCCTTGCTGTGTGTAAAATTCCTGTTAATGTTAATCAGAATTACRGGTGCACATCATAAAATGAATAAATTAGCTGCTGCTACTGACTCAGTTTGGATAATTTCCACCTTTTTTACTGCTGCAGAAATGCTTCAAACTTYTGCAGGTAGTACACATTTTCTCCAAAATTTGTATTCATACAGAATTGGGTACAGTAGAAACAGGGAAGCAAGTTACTGAACACGAGGGATAGGGTGGCATGACCAAAGCCAAAAGCAAGCAAAATGATTTTTACAGCATTGTTGCTGTAATGAGTGAGGTCAGAGCAAATCCATTCACAGGGAAGAGAAATTATGTAAAATGAGAGCTCAATGCCAAGTATTAGAAACATTATTAGAAAACTGCAGGACTTGTGAATCAGGAGAAGCCGAGGCCAAGGATGGGAAGGCCACTGAGAAGTGTGGGGTCAGTGGGTTTAAGGTGAAGCAGGAATATTGTCTATTTCTAAGCTTTATCTCTGGGATATATGTATTATTTTGGAGGTAAGCTGGATGTATTTAGAGAAGAGAGGAGGAGGAGTGTGAACTACTGGAAAGATGTTAGAGGCTGATAGGGAGATGGAGATAATGAGGGGAGAGAGTTACTGGAGAAAGTGGGTGAAGTATGAAGAAAAATGAAAAACTTCAGTCCCATTGAAAGGAAGGATGGGAATGGAAAAACGGAAGGGATGACCTAGAGAAAATCTGATTATATTTTGCCTGTATTCGCTGAAGAAATCATTAGGTGTAGAGAAGTAGAGTATTTTAGCAAAGGCGATGTTGGAGCTGAGGGGGAGAAAACATGTATAGAAAAAGATGTCAGCTCGGTGCCTTTCTCCTGCCGGGAATGCCCGCAGCAGGCACGGAACAGTGGAGCAGGAGCTGCGGGTGGGCGAGGGAGGCAGAGGGAAGGGCGGGAGCTGCAGCTCGGGGTGCACCCCAAGGACACCCCGCGCTCACTGACCCCTCCTCAAGCRAGGGAGGGAGCAGAAGAGGAGTCAGCCGTGTGCATCCGCTGCAAGTCACTGCGTGGTGTGAGAGAGGGAGGCAGGGGGAGCGCTCCGGCGCTGACCCTGACCCGCTGGTGCTTGGGCAGAGCGCTCCCGGTGTTGGGACAGGTTGCATGTTAACCAAAAAAAAAAAAACCCTAAAAAAGAAGAAGAAAAATGAAATGTAAAATTGAAGCCCATTTTTATAGGACCAAAAATACAGTTGTGTGTTATAGTGAGGGTATATTTATTTAGTACCTATTGGCTGTATAAAATTGCTTTTGGTCTGTTTTTATGGTTCTTCATAAAACAAAGACTTATTAAATTTACTTGGCAGCTGTAGGGTAAGGTAAAAATGAAATAAGCTGTACTTTTTTTTTTTTAAGAGCCTTTGGCAGTTCTCTGTCTTTTATTTTAAGCTGATGAGACTCRAACAGAGATTACATATAACACCTATAGAAATTTTTAAGCATCATATTTGGCTATCATAAATTGTAGGAGGAAGTGTCCTGGAGTGCAGCGTGTGCTTTAGCTCAGTGTGGCTTTAGCAGATGAGGTCCGGGCAAGGAGGACAGCCCGCCGTGCCGAGGAGTGCTAAGGGGAAGGGCCTCGCCCCGACCAAACTACTGCTCTTGTGCCTTGCAAACTAAAATGACAGAATCTTAAATAGCAGTTAACTTAGCAAATACTGCTGTCACATCCTGCCTGGGAAATTAAACATGAATGGCTGCATTGGTAGGGCAAAAGTATTTATCAGCTCTTCTTGATTTCAGTGATAGATCTCAGGATTTCTTTATTCAGCCTCAAGGGAGTCTTATCCAATTTCCATTTTTCTTCCCCTGTCCCATTTCAAGTCATTGCAGGCTCTTTGTCTTCACTCAAGGCAGCTCGCAAGTCTATAAGCCATGCTTTACGCACTAGGAACATGCCACTAGTTTTTTCATTTAAAAAAAAAATATTGATTTTCTTTCATTTGTTTCGGCCATTCCTTAATTCTGTTCAGCTTTACTCGCTGGCCTGGCTCCACTGTCATGGCTCAGAGTGGCCGAAGGGCAGGTGGCCTGGGCCGTGCCACCAGGAGCAGGTACCTGCAGCACCTCCCAGAGCGGCACCTTGGCTGGTTTCCTCCTCCTCCTCCTCCTCCTCCTCGCTTTGACAGGCTGCGTCTCCTCAAACTCCAGCTTCTCATTTCATGAGTTTGCTTGGGTTCAGTGTTCTGTTTTTTTTTTTTTTTTTTTTTGTACTGATGTAGTAGGTTCAATATCATCTGGCTGCCGATGTCGAGGCCCTATTTTCCATGTGCAGCATCATTTAATGGACCAGATTATTTATGGCCGACGTTACCATAGAGGCAATGGCAGGTTCTTCTGCTGAACTGACTTTCAGGGCTAATTACTCATTTCTACTCAGACAGAATCATTTTAATGAGGAAGATGAGACTGATAGAGTTTTCATTCAATAGCTTGGACTGACAAAGCAGTCTCCAATATATGGTATTAAAACCAAAGCAAGTGACCGTTTTCAGTAAGCAGCCTTTAAAAATTATTTGTCCTTTCTTTCTTCCCTRTGGGGTCTGCTCGTTTTCTCTGCCTGTTTTAGTATTGATTTCAACCCCTCTTTGGAGAAATTTTGGTTATTGCAGTAGGATAAATTTTAGTCATGGCCCTGTTGCTTGTTGCTGAGTTTTATGAGAATTTATTTGCTTACTGACAGAATACCAGCTACAAATTCATTTACAGCAGAGAAGAAAATAAACAGAGCACTTGAGACATATTTGCCAGTGATCAGTGATTAAGTAGAGTTTTGTCAAAATCGTTTCAGTTGGAACTTAAAAATGATTGTTTGGTTATTGCTTATGTATTAGAAATGCATTTGGGCTAATTGAAAAGCTGGCTGCTAAAAGAAACTTGATAAAACAGGGGGTAACAGAGCTCTACAGCACCGAACTGCTGTTCCATTAGAAGCCTTTGCTATTCAATTCATTACGCCTGAACCTTTCACGTTTTATGCAAAGGAGCAGAGTTGCTTCTGTTTGTGCAGACTACACAAGTTGCCATTTGCAAGTACATTAACGTTACAACAACTTTACAGAACTATGGGCAGGGCTCATTACCTTCCT